TGAGGTTAATTTCTCTCCGTGAATTTTCAGATGGAGTACTAACTCTCACATTCAAGTCAGAAGCTTTGTGAGGAATGTTGGATGAATAAACCATAAATATTAATGATAGGATTTTATTTGAACCGTAATGGTCTTATCTCTCTGCTGTTAATTAAACTACAGCCATTGTTTGGTTTAATTGATAAAATTTAAATCAAAATCAACAATTAATTTTAATAATGCATTTCATGGAATTCACAACTTTTATCAATTTTTCAACCACACATTTCATCAATTTTTATCAAAATTTACTAAAATCTTATTATTATTTTAAAAAAAATAAAAAATCAAATAAGGACTATCCGTTGAGTCAATTTTATCAAGTTAGATCTAATTTAAAGTGTTTACTTTTGCCATATCGTGGTGGGGGTGGGGAGACTGGTAAAAAAAAAAACCACAAAAAAGTAGGGAGAGCTCTTTTTGTTAAATTAGAGCTCTTTGTTATTGGTGTTAGCGGAGGTGGTATAGTAGAGGTGGAGGACGTAATGGATTTGAGAAGATGGTGGAGGTGGTGGTGGTCACAAATTGTTTGGTTAACTAAAACCAATAAAGTGGCTAATGCGTGACAAATAAATAATATGCGACAATGAAATAAATTATTTGTGACTAATAAATAATGTATGACCTAAAAAATTGTTAAGTTGTGATCAATAATTTGAAAATTTGTGACTTAAAAATAATTTGATATAATATTGTAACCTTAATATATTTGATTAATTAAATATATTTAATTATTTATTTAATAAATAAAATTTAATCAATATTTTATTTTTGAAATAATAAACCTTATTTATTAGATCCGAAATGGGTCGTACATAATGTCTCACTTATAAAATTTTCCCTTCTGTAAAATCATCTTTTCATAAGGCAATGAAGAATAGAATGAACTAATCTATTATAATTAATGTTAGCTATACAAAAATTACATGATTAACTGCTAAGAATATTTACAAAGTTTTGAAAGCGAAAACAATTCTATATTACGGTACAAACTATGAAATTTGGAGGGTTGGTGAGGTTAATCTCTCTCCATGAATTTTCATATGGAGTAACTCTCGCATTCAAGTCAAAAGCTTTTGTGAGGAATATTGTATGAATAAACCATAAATATTTTATGTAGTGATAGGATTTTATTTGAACCATACCAGAGTCATCTCTTTAAATTATTGTGGATAAAACTATAGTCCTCGTTTGATTTAATTAAAAATTGATAAAATCTAAATTAAAATGAACAATTAATTTTAATCTTTCATTTTATAAGATTCACAAATTTTATCTTTTTCAATTACATATATGTTTAGTCAATTTTTTTCAAAATCCACTAAAATTTAATTTTTAATTAACCAAATCAAATAGGGACTCTGTCTAGTTGTAATTTTATCAAATTTGTTAAACCCGTTTGACCTATTCTCATTCTTTTTCTGTTTCTTATTTTCAACCATATAATCTTTTATAAAATAATATTATACGCAAATCAAAAAAATTTCATTCTCTTTCAACCATACATTTTTTTAAAAATAATATTATTCCAACCATTAAAATTTGAAAATAACAGAGGCTAAATGGTATAGCGTTTCTTTTGCCCATATCGTGGTGTAGTGGGGTGGGGGGACTGGTAAAAAGACTACAAAAAAGGGTGGGGGAAGGGGGAGCTCTTTTGGTTTAAATTACAAATGGACAAAAGAGAAAAAGTGGAGAGACTGTGTCTTCACGTCTTCTGCTCTACTATTTAGATGTAATAATTTTTGGTCAACAATACAGCAAGATAAAGAATTGTACTATATAAATTTTTATTTTTTAATAGCGAACCACAATGTAGATAAGTCCCATAAATATTTTCATTGAACCTGGAAAAGTTAGGAGCTTTAGGTACTATGAATTTCCTTTTGTCAAAAAGGTGCATTTAATTCTTCTTAAGAGACTTCACAAAGAAAAGAAATGGGATGCAACTTTCATTTGGTGACAATCACAAACCCTACAAAGTAAGAAACCCTACCTATACTCTATTATTTGTAGAATAGAATTCTCGGAATACTTGTACAACCCTTTGAAGAGTTTAATAGACAATATTTCAACTCCAATAAATTTACATAAAATTACTATTCGAACTTCACGAAAACTAAAGAGATAAGCTTTAGAACTTACAACCATCTAATATAATACATACAATTTACATTAGTTAATGACAAAAACACACACACAAGGAATTTGAGAGAACCGTTACACACACACAAGGAATTTGAGAGAACCGTTCTTTTTCTTTTTTTCCTTCATTTCAATTTTCAACACATTACGTCCTTCAGAAGCTTGTACCTGCGAGTAGTGGGGCGGGGAGAGGGCGTGCCACTTGGGTTTTTCCCAGACTTTTCTCCGGCGCCATCTCCGCCGTCGTGCTTGATTTTGTCGCCCGAATAAGCTGATCTTGCATGAATATTAACTTGTGAAGATTTCTTTGAAGAATTGCCATGCCTTGATGTATTTCTTTCCTCACTTTGGCACCAGTCACAAACTTCCATCGGCTCTGCAAATTCGCTGTAATAGTTGCTGCAATACCTGTGAATTTTTCAAGTCTTGAAGTATAATTTCGCAAATTCGGGTGTCTTCTTTTTCTTTCTTAGTCCATCTAAGATCTAATCCGCCCTATTATATTGATTTGTTGGAGCATATTAAAATAATCGGACTGGTAATAATATACAAGAGGAAAAATGATATTATCAAGAATTAGACAAGAATAAACCAAAATAAGTTCTTGATTACGGGGTTGTTGAGTTACACACTCTAGGTTGTTGTATATAATATATTATGCAGATGATGTCGGAGTTGGGTGCGAGGGGTGATGTGGGTTGTTCATATTTCACTTTCACCGAAAATCATATTATGCAAAACAAGAAATTCATTCATAGGACCATGAGAAAAAAAATTTGATCACCATCTTTAATATGCATGTAAATTTTCACAGCGTGTAGAGATTTTCGAAGCGTACGAGTGTTGGAAGCGGCCTCGGCACTTGGTGCATCGGAAAAGCTTGTCGGAGAATCCCACATCGCCACACATACAACACACGGTCTGAAGATCCACCATTGTTTAAGCTTAAGAAAAACCAGACCAGAGAGAACTTTTAAGGAAGAATAGATTTTATGGGTTTCAAGTCGGTGGACGCATCTCATTCATTTATACACATAATAAATTCTCCATAGTCCATACATATATATACGCACACATATGTGGGTGGGTGTGGATGTATATATCATTCTATTGTTATTTCTATTGTGTGTCCGCACAAGGGATAATCGATATAGATACGGGTGGAACACAGGTTGTTTGCAGTCGTTTTCAGTTAGGGAGAAAATTGTGAACCTGTAGGCTGTAGAAAAGGAGTTTTGTCCCTAACTAGTTAAGTTTGGGCCATTTCTATCACTATAACCCTTTAATTTATTTTATTTTATTTTATTTTGAAGGCTACCCTTTTATTATTTATCCATTGGCTTTGGGGAAAGATTATTTAAAAATAAAATAAATAATAAAAAAAGGTTCAATCTCTTTGTGGGAGCGTGAGATGCAGACTGGTTACTGAATAAAGAACTACAAGTTTAGAAAAGAAACATTGAACCTAACCTCCATTCAATGTGATCCAATTTAAAAAAAAAAAAAAACATTCAAAAAAAACGAAATTTAAAAAAAAAAAAAAAAAAAAAAAAAAAAAAAAAAAAAAAATCCCTTTAAGATTTGGGGTTGCATCTTAAAATGTCAACATTGTCACGAGGAGCACTTCAAACTATTAGAAATTGATCTATATGTATTTTCATCGTTATTCGATGTGAGATTATATCTCTTGACATACCTGCACAAAATGGTGACTCTTTTGAACAAATCAATCTTGAAATTCGTATACTCATTTAGTTGAGTCTTAATCAGATCAATTCGCTCATTTAGTTGACGTGGATGTGTGTTGTGAGTGCGACTGTGGTGTGATGGTGTTTGTGGCTGCTATGGTGGCGAGGCAACGGTTCTAGAGGCGGTTTGTGATCAATTATTTGGATGCGTTGGTGTTAGATCAATGGTGGATCTGGTGGTGGCATGGCTTTTGTTGATGGAGATGGTGGTGGTGGTGAATCTGGCATGGATGTGTTGACGGGTGTTGGTCTTGTAGTTGAAAATGGTGGTTTATTAGTGGTTGTGGTGGTGAGGTGGTGATGGATCTGGAGCGACATTTGTTGGTTTTTTTGCAATGTATTAGATTTGTTGTAGGCGATGGTGGTTTTGATTGTGACGATAGCAATGGTGCTATTGGGGGTAGTGGTGAGGTGGTGATCACAAGTGTTGATTGTAGTTACAAATTATTTGGTTGACTGTGACCATTAAATTGGTTAATCTGTAACCAATGAAAGAGATGAACCGTGACCAAGAAATAATGTGTAACCTAAAAAATTATCAATTTGTAATCGATACTTTGATCATTTGTCTTTGTCTAATAAGTTGTGACTTATAATGTTCGCAATTTGTTACCGATGAACAAATTGTAATCTATAAAATTTTTGAATTGTAATCGTAAAATAACTTGCAATATATAAAAATTTTGGTCTATGACTGAAAAATAATATGTGACTAACTAAATTTGTGAATTTGTGGCCAAATTGTATAATTTGTGACTGTAATATGTTTAATTTAATCATAAATAAATTGTAATAAATATCTGATTTTTGAAATTTAAAACTTTTATTCTTAATTTTGAAATAGGTGATAGTTAACCTCTTATTTATGAATTTTTTCCATGTTAAAATTTAAGATTCCATCTTAGAAGATCAACCATAATAAGAGAAATAGCTCAAAATCTTATAAATTGATCAATGTTTTTATCCTAATTCGATATGGAATCATATCCCGCTTAACAAAACCGAAACATGAAAGCTAATTAGTAAAAGAAGAAGATCTACATCTCGTATGCTCTCGTCATCATGTGATATGTGTAATAGTTAATAACTTTGTTGGCTCACTGTTAGTCTCACTTTGTTGATGTCAGGTCAAAATTATTAACTGCCCAAGTGCAGACCTGAACCTAGTGTAAAAAGATGGGGGATAAGCTTTTGCCTTGCAATTTCCCATCATTGCTTTGCTCGTTACTTTATGGATACTATATACTATTGGATTAGTAGCCACCGTTCGATTCATTTTCTAACCAATCATCAGCAAGTTAGTTGATTTTTGCCGCTCGAAAATGTTGACTTGACATAGGTGCATAACTCTTGATTACAAATTTTAATTGTCAACTAATTTTAACATAGCGGTTTCAAAAATAATCAACGAGCTTTTTTTTATTTCAATTTTCCAAAATCAATGAATATGGCACTATAGGATCCAATAGAGTTTTGATCAAGTGCGTGGTTCGTTGTTGTTTCATGGACTGTGCCTTCATTATTTCATCATTTTCCAGTGAGAAAATGGTCGACGAAATGGACTTCTATCGCACAACAGTAAATAATGGAATCGAATACGTGTCACTTAATTGGGTAAATTAATTCATGGTCACTAAACTTTTAGCAAAATGAGAATTGGGTAATTTAATTTCAAATTGGATCACTGAAATTCAATTTAATTTCAAAAGTTAACATTCTCTCTCACGTGCCATCTCCTAAATTGATGAAAAAAATTATTAATCAACGATCATACTGCAATGAATGATGAATCTTCCACATAATCGTTGTTGGCAACTTGGCATGTCGGTTTATTGTGACTTGAACAAGTTCTATCAATTTGGAAAATTGTAGAAAAAGAAATGTAATAAAGTAATAGATTTGATATTTCTCGCAAATTAAATTTACCCCACCTATTCACACTAGTTTAATTTACTTTCGAAAGGGAGGAAGACCAAACTATAAATTAAAAAATGAGCAATAACTCGGGATAGGCTCACCTTGGTATTGTTAATATGTTTAATTTGCGTGCATTTACGTGAATTAATTACTATCGCTTTAAATAATAATCAGGGTTGACGGAGGCTGATTTTTGTTATGATAATAATTTAAAATTGCGTAAATTGCCTCGTTATTTATAATTAAATATATGGATTAAACAACAACATAAGGTACATTTTTCTTTAAAATAATTAATATTTAATAATAGAAAATATATGGATTAAACAACAACATAAGGTACATTTTTCTTTAAAATAATTAATATTTAATAATAGAATTGAAGATGGATAGAGTGTCACAATATAATTTTATATCACTCAACTGTGAGTATTATGGTAGGAGGACCATTCTAAATTTTACCTAAGTTGACCCAAGAACAATAGGGCTCAAGTCAACCAAAATAATAGGTTCCATGGCCGAGTATAGAAGCTCGGACGTTATCAAATATAAGAGTGAGGATAATATAACGTTCAATTTCATGAAAGCATATTCAACATGTAATAATGGAGATGTCGACCAAAAATCCTAAAATTTATTAGAAATGTCTCACAAGCAAGATTGTAAGACCAAAATCGAATAAAAAGTCTGCATGTCCAAAATTTCGAAAATCTACAAATAATTTATTACCACCTTCTCAACAGTAACATTCACTTGCTCTCTATAACTATCAACTGAAAATTCACATCAAGCAAGCTTAATTCTCTAAATACATTGATACTCTTATTGAATTGTCACAACAAAATAATGAATCATTTAAACCAATCAACCACCAAGTCTCTTGGTCTCTAGAGGTAAACTCGCTTTGAATCTTTTTATTTACCGCTGTCAGTAAATTTGCGATTTTGGGTGTGAACTTGAATTGCTTAGTGAAAATTAACTAACAATTTATATTTCACTTTAAAATTGAACAAACTGTTAAGATTTGGGGTTCTATTTTAAAAAGTCAATATTCTTAAGAGAAGTAGCATAAATCCTTATATATTTGTTTTTATTTTTCATCTTTATTCGATGTGGGATTATATCACTTAACATGTTCCACAAGATGGTGTTTTATTGAGCAAACCAATTTTGAAATTTGTATACTCAATTTTTTAGTCCTAATCGAATCGAATCGTTGGAGTTTAATGGACTCTAGTATCATGTAAAGACTGAGGTTCTATCTTAAATGGTCGACCTTGTTAAGAGAAGTAGTCCAAAACCTTGTAAGGCGGCCTATGTTTTCTTCTTTATTTGATGTAAAATCATATCCCTTAACAATGTAAAGACTTGAGATTCCATTTTAAAAGGTCGAACTTGTTAAGAAGAATGATCCAAAACCTTACAAGTTAGCCTATGATGTCATTTTTATTCGATGTGGGCACAGCAAGTAGTAGCTCGTTTTGAGCAAACTAATCTTGAAATTTGTATACTCATAATCAGATTGAATTGCCCATTAGAGTTTAATGGGCTCCAATACCATGTTAAGATTTGGAGTTTCATCTTAAAATGTCGACCTTATTAGGAGGACTAGCTAAAATCTTTATCAATTGATCTATAATTTCATCTTTATTTGATGTGGAATTACATCTTTTAACATAAATTACTACATTCAATTGGATTCGAAATACAAATTTGACTAAAGTTAATTACGAAAAAAAAAAAATCATATAAAGTTCATGATTGCCAAGACCCACGAATCAACATAACAAGTGATTGTCTCCAAACGACGAGAAAATACAATGTTTCATGGTGGTGGTGTCCCAGCCACGTGCTTTAGTCTTTTGTTTGTTGGGAAAACAATATCCAAAATTTGAAATGACGGACGTTTATGACAAGTTCAATAAGTTAAATTGAATGCTACTGAAAAAATATAAAATTAAATTTTACTTATTACCTAATACAATCTAGTTTAATTTCTGGCTTAAAAACAACATTCCACAAGGATAATTATGTGCATCATTAGTATAGGCCATCATGAGTTTAGGTTGAAAATATGGAAAGCAAAATTGTAAAAATTAAAAATGATAATAGAAATTATATTTTAACCCCCTCTAAGGCAAAAACCTGTCCATGTTCGGTTGTGCTATCGAAATATCAAAATAGGAGGGCACGTATTTTGAGGTGGGCTTACTATTTAGACGCTTTCGGCATTTATTTGCTCCCCTCACTAGGGAAAGGTGAGTCCATAATTCATTGTCAAATGTATCATAAAATTAGTAGGCAATGAATCGAGAGATCTACGAATACTTAAACTGGCCATGATATCTACTATCAATGCCGTGTGCACTCACATTTAATGGCATGTCATAAAAAGGTTTATTGTCCATGTTATGTACATAACAAGAACACTTACTCTTAAATGTATT